TATGTTATAGGTATGTAGGGCTATCTTTTAGCTATGCTCCTGCAGAGTGCAGGGGGTTGGACTAGATGACCTGCAAGGTCCCTTCCAACTCTAACATTCTATGATTCTATGAGGCTAGACGACCATCTTTCGGGTATGTTGTAGGTTTGTAGGGCTGTCTTTCGGCTGTGCTCCTGCAGAGTGCAGAGGGTTGGACTAGATGACCTGCAAGGTCCCTTCCAACTCTAACATTCTATGATTCTATGGCCCCATCACCAGAGACAAAAGTATCTCATCAGTGTAGAGTGATTTATAATGACACTGGTTCTGTAATCCCTCAAAATGTAAAGACCGCACAGAGAGTTCTCGGAACAGCCCATAGGAAACACAATAACAACTGGGCCCTGCTGCCTGGGTGCCGGTAGGCAGTCACCCCCTGTATATACTGTGACCCTAGATAGGAGAAGTAACTTACTATGTAAACCGCTCCGAGCCTGCGGGAATGGAGCTGTATAGAAGTCAAAAGTAATAAATAAATAAATAAATAAGGGGGAATTCCCTCTACACAGCCTTATCATTCCAGAACGTTATGAACAGACTCAGAGCCCCAACGTTCTATGAACTTATCTGAAATATCACAAGGATTTCTTAATGTCCTTTGGCGATAAGTCAATTTGATAAGCAACACATTTCCCCAAAGGAAATTCACCCGGCCTCCTGAAGTTGGAGAACCTGGACTGTCCCACCTGGCAGCCAGGATTATTTCAGCCGCTGCAAGGAGGGTTAACAACACAGATTCCCAACCTGACAGAACAGCATAACCTTTAAGGTAACCCAATAATATAACCTTTGGATCATGAGGTAAACTAATATTTAACGTATCGTTAATGAAGCGGACTACAAAATCCTCCAAATTCTGTACTTTTGCACAGCTCCAAAAGATATGATTGCTCTCTTTAAGTATCCGAGGGGTTGTCACTTGGAGGAGGGCAGGGGAGAGGACTCGCAAGAATGGGTTTAAATTAAGGGCGGGAAGGTGCCGGCCGGATATTAGGAAAAACTTTTTTACAGTAAAGAGTTGTGCAATGGTGGGATCAGCTGCCTCGGGAGGTGGTGAGCTCCCCCTCCCTGGCAGTCTTTAAGCAGCGGCTGGACAAATACTCATCAGGGATGCTCTAGGCCAGGGGTGTCAAACATGCGGTCCGGGGGCCGGATCAGGCCCCCGGAGGGCTTCCATCAGGCCCACAGTGGAACTGGCTGGCTTCTGCTTCTTCTTCCAGTTCTGCTGCTGCTGCTGCGTCATCGTAGGTTTGCAGCTTTACAGATACACACCTGAACAGCATACTCAAGATTGCAACTGCACAGACATTTTGATGCAATCATTCAGAGCAAGAGGTGTCCGTTATCAGACACTGTTAAATAAACAAAATATTGCAAGAGTGCTGATGTTTTAAGCATGTTTTTTATTTGAAGTTTTAAAAACCTTTGTGTTTGTGTCCTTTGTAAAGTTTATATCTCCGCTCCCTGGCATTACATTTTATGACACGCCCGGCCTGGCCCAACAAGGTCTCATCTATGTCAGATTCAGCCCTCATAAGAAATTAGTTCGACACGATGTCAGTTAACACTGCCATTCCCTGGAATCTGTGGGGGGAAGATCCTCCTCTCCTCTGCCTGGTACTCTAACGATGTCTCCTGTCTGGGTTGTTATCTGCTTTTGCTTTCCTGACCTTGGGGCTCCAGCTGCTCCTGACCTGCTGGGAACAAACGGCTCCTATTTTGCCCACTTTCTTTTCTCCCGCATGCGCTGCACAATGCTTATTGGCTTCTGCTTCTAATGGGGGGTGTTTTGAAACTAGTATAACTCCGGGTGCCCTGCTGCTTTGGGCCATTCCTGACAAAAGACGTTCACGTGTCATCGTTATGAACGACCAATAAACAGAATACTTCTTATGAAGCGCTGTGTGGTGTGAACTGACTATCGAACCCTGACACACCCCTGCTCTAGGCTGGCCCTGCATTGAACAGGGGGTTGGACTAGATGGCCTGTAGGGCTCCTTCCAACTCTATGGGTTTCTGTCAGGACCCACAGCTAAGCGACAAAGTACACGCTTCCAGGAAGGTTTTACTTTTATTGAAAAGCCATAGATGCGATAACACAAACACTGTCAGGAATGGAGGGATATCTGTGCGCATAATAGGATATAGGGCATTCGTATGTGCCCCCCCCCAGCAATCACCAATTAGGTGTGCTCCCGCGCACGGGATACTGCTGGACTCTCTAACGGTTGCGAAGCTGGGAACGGAGAAGCTCCCACGGACGATAGACACCACATTCTCCACCAGTACAACATCAGAGATAAGCATTACAGCTCTGAAGCAATTAAGCGCATGGGAAGGAATGCAAGGCAATTAGAAAACATCTCCACACTCATGGCAGCATAGCTGACAGTTTCTAGGATTCTGTATGGCCCTGACCTGGAGAGCCCAGGAGGGCCTGATCTCGTCAGATCTCGGAAGTTAAGCAGGGCCAGCCACATCAACGGCTTCAGCTTCTTTAATGGCAATCAGTGATGCGCTTTGGCCCCCTGCAAGTACCAAGGGCAGTGCTTCGCCTTCATCATGCCGCTTTAGCAGGTCCAAAGACATCAATGTCCCTCCCAGTTCCAAGGCAAGCGCTGGGGCCATAAGAGCTTCCTTTTATTTTATTTATTTATTTATTTATTTATTTCAGTTTATATACCACTCTGACCCGAAGGTCTCAGAGCAGTTTACAGGCAGGTTTCAAGTGCAAGTTTCAAGTCCCTTACTAAGGCCACATGGTATAGGGGTGGGGGCTGCCTACCGGCACCCAAGTGGGGGTAGCTATTCTTCGGCTCCGGCTCCAGTTTCTCTGGCGGTCCAGTTTGGGGTCGGCATTTCTCTGGTGTCAGAGAGTCAATGGTGGTGGGGGGAGCTCAGCCCGGTCTAAGGCTACAGAGTCCGCCCTCCAACAGCCATTTCCTTCAGGGGAGCAGATCTCTCTCGTCTGGAGTTCAGTTGCAATTCCAGGCGATCTCCAGGCCCCACCTGGAGAGTGGCAACCAGTGCTCCTTCTAAGCAGAGTGAGTGTGAGCTGGCTCACCATTTTTTAGCCTCCAGCTCACACATTTTTGTCTTCGCTCAGGAAGGATGGCTCCAGAGCAGAGCGGTGGCACAGAGGATTTATCCTCTGGTTACAGTAACATCTGAACTGAACAGAACTGCAGTCAGTTCTAGCCCGTGCTGGTGTGAGCTACCAGCCTTGTCCCCAGCTCGCCGTCCACCCAGCGGCTCGAAAGCTTCGGCAAGTAGATAAAATGGGTACCATTCCTTAGAGAGGGTGGGCACACTAACCCCCCCCCCGGTGGGGGTAGGTGTTAGCCGGCGAAACGAAATGTCCAGCTCGTAAGCTCGTAAGCCTGGAAAGATCTCTTCGGCATTAAGAAGCCTGCGATGGGCCAATCCGGCCAGGCCGTGGCTGTGCGACGTTGCGACTCGAAGCAGTCCTGGAAAAACTGACGTCATCAAGCCAAGCCAAGTGAATGCCGTCTGGAACACGTCTAAGTCTACAGCTGAACAAAAAAACCCCGTCGGCTGCAAACGTGTGCGACTTAAAAAAAAGATTTATATGTTGTCCTCCCTTACCCCCTACGAATCATTGTTAGTCCCTTGTTAATATGTGTAACTGTAAATCGCTCAGAGCCAGCAGCTCTGCAGGATTGAGCGTTTAATAAATTGAAAGATGTTGTTGTTGTTATTATTATTATTATTATTATTATTATTATTATTATTAATGCAGTAGCCAAATTGCTCACTCACAACTTCAATGCCAGTAGCTCACAAAGCAGAATTTTTGCTCATGAGATTCTGCAGCTTAGAGGGAACATTGCAACCCTGGGATACTTGTGGGCGGGGGGGGGAGTGGTGGAGGTGGACATATTTGTGGCCTGGATATATTCCTGGGACCTGTCTGGAACTCCCTGAGGCAACCAAACAATAATTTAGTTAATGATTTTTAAAGCTGTACAGAACATTAACTGCCTGAGTACCTCTGTGACACATCCTTGTCCCCCCCCCCTCCAGTGTCCAAAAGCAGGCTGTTTCTCCTTGTGACGTTCCCTGCGGGGTCTTATGGCGGGGGGGGGCGTTATTGGGGAGTCTTCTGGGTCAGGAACAAAAGCTAATGGGGGGGGGGGAGATGAGATTCCATTTTTCAGCGAAAGAGAGACCAGCAGTGAGAAGACGTTTAGCCAATTTATTTTATTTATTTATTTTTTAAAAAAATCAGACTTGGCCTCTGTGTTGGTAGAAGTTTATGGGCCCTTCTGGTTCTGAAGATGATTGCTGAAAACCAATTTCCGACGAGTGAATTTGAGATTCTGTTGCCAAAGATCATCACTTAAACCTCAGATCTTAAAGACATGTGGACTCCCCCCCCCCAGATCGGTCCTCTACAACAGGCCACAAAACCACTTATTCTGTAATGCAGGGGTGTCGAACTCATTTGTTATGAGGGCCGGATCTGACATGAATCAGACCTTGTTGGGCCGTGCCGTGCGTGTCATAAAATGTAATGCCAGGTAGCGGAGTTCTAAACTTTATAAAGGACACAGACACAAAAGTGTTGGTTTTTTAACTTAAAATAAAAACATGCTTAAAACATCAGCCCTCTTGCAATATTTTCTTTATTGAACCATGTCTGATAACGGACACCTCTTGCTCTGAATTATTGCATCAAAATGTCTGTGCAGTTGCAATCCTGAGTATGCTGTTCAGCTGTGTGTATCTGTCAGCTGCAAACCTACGATGACGCAGCAGCAGCAGCAGAACTGGAAGAAGAAGCAGAAGCCAGCCAGTTCCACTGCGGGCCTGATGGAAGCCCTCCGCGGGGGGGGGGTGCTGATCCGGCCCCCGGGCCGCATGTTTGACACCCCTGCTGCAATGTCTTTTCTTTTCTCTCCTCAGGAGCCCAAGGCCTACCAAGATCCACATCTCCCCCGATGGCTCTCAACCGCAGCAGCTTCGAACCCATCACCTTTGTCCTGACCGGCATCCCAGGCATGGAGGAGTCCCACATCTGGATCTCTGTCCCTTTCTGCCTGATGTACGTCCTGGCGCTGACGGGGAATATCTTCTTCCTGTTCCTCATTGCCACAGACCACACCCTCCGGCAGCCCATGTGCCTCTTCCTAGCGATGCTCTCGGTGGCCGACCTCACCTTGTCCACCGTCACGGTGCCCGAGATGCTGGCCATCTTCTGGTTTGGATCCAGGAAGGTCTCCTTCGACGGCTGCATCGCCCAGATGTTCTTCACCCACTTCAGCTTCATCGCGGAGTCAACAATCCTGCTGGCCATGGCCTTTGACCGCTACGTCGCCATCTGCGACCCGCTGCGCTACATGATGATCATGACGCCCTCCGTGATCGGGAAGGTGGCCGTGGCGGTGCTGCTGAGAGGGGCGTGCATCATGTTCCCAACCATCTTCCTCCTCAAGAGGCTGCCCTACTGCGGCCACAGCACCATGCGCCACACCTACTGCGAGCACATGGGCATCGCTCGGCTGGCCTGCGCGGACATCACTGTCAACGTCTGGTACGGATTCACCACCACCCTCCTGTCCTCCGGGCTGGATGTGTTGCTCATTGCCCTTTCCTACGCGGTCATCCTCCGAGCCGTCTTCCGGCTCCCCTCCAAGGAGGCTCGTCTCAAGGCTCTCCGCACCTGCGGCTCCCACCTGGGCGTCATCTTGATGTTCTACTTGCCCGCCTTCTTCTCCTTCCTCACCCACCGCTTTGTCCACAACGTTCCTAGCTGCATCCACATCCTGCTGGCCAACTTCTACGTCATTGTGCCCCCTATGCTCAACCCCATTGTCTATGGGGTGAGAACAAGGCAGATTCGGGAGAGAGTCCTTCATATGTTCTCAAAGGTGCGGGGGACGTGCCGCTAAGAGACGGTGGCACCCTCACTGGGGGGGGAAATCCTTCTTCTAAAGAGGAAGAAGATGGACTCCTGGGGACTGCGTGCTGGAATCACGGCTTTTCCCTTCCACTCCTCCAGGGCTGCCTGGAGAACTGTTTTTGTGTCCGTGAGGCTCCTGGGAGCAAGGACCTCTGAGCAGGCGTCTCCCTCCCGGCCAACACCCCCACCCCCCACCCAGCAGTGCTGGGAAAGTGCACTGTCTACGAACGGTCATGCTGCTGGCTCTGCTGGCACACTGGCTGTTCCTCTTGATGTGGCCAGGGTTCTGTGGCACGCCACCTTTTCCCCACTCCTCGCAGCCACCGTTCCCCCACTCCTCGCATCCACCGTTTCCCCACTCATCGCAGTCACCATTTCCCCACTCCTCGCAGCCACCGTTTCCCCACTCCTCGCAGCCACCATTTCCCCACTCCTTACAGCCACCGTTTCCCCACTCCTCAGAGCCACCATTTCCCCACTCCTCGCAGCCACCGTTTCCCCACTCCTCGCAGCCACCGTTTCCTCACTCCTCACACTCACCGTTTAC